GGTTGGCTGTCTTGGTTGCTTGGTTTGCTGGTAACAATGAAGGCAAAACTCATATTTCAACAAGTTTGGACTGCTTCAACAAATTGGGATGAATCCCTCCCGGAAGATAGACAACAAGAATGGTCAACCTTTCAACAAGAATTGCCCACTATTAATAGCATCACTTTACAACGCTGGATTGGTAACATTAAACAACCAATCGAGTTACACGGATTCAGTGACGCCTCCGAGAAAGTCTACAGCTGCGTTATCTACTGTAAATCTATTGATGAGGAAGGGCAACAAATTATCAATTTGGTGGCGGGAAAAACTAAGCTCGCACCATTAAGAAAACCACCATCTTTACCACGCCTTGAACTATGCGGTGCATTAGTACTGTCTCGACTTATGAAAAAGGTCCTAGACTCAATAAACTCACAGACTGTATCAATACATGGTTGGACAGATTCTATGATCGTGATGGGTTGGTTACCAGGGGGGCCTTCAAGATGGACTACATTTGTGGCTAATCACGTAACACAAATCACCGGCATCATGCCATCGGGATGCTGGAAGCACGTCAAGTCTGAACATAATGCAGCAGATTGTGCCAGCAGAGGCCTAGCTCCACTACAACTGGTGAATCATCATTTATGGTGGGGACCTACTTGGCTTAAAGACAACGATCTACTACTTCAAGAAACATCCCACACAACATTGAAGAGAAAAAGGTCAAACAAGTTTGCGTGTCACAAAGGTCGATGTCATTAATAGAAGAACTTTTAAGCAAATACAGCTGTATGGTGCGCGTAACTCGAATCCTAAGTAGGATACTTCGGTTCGTGAACAATGCACGTGACGTCAACAATGCCATGCGATCATTGTACTTAGCAACAACTGACCTGCAAAGCGCACATAATGCAATTATAAAAGCTATACAAACTAATCATTTCGTCGACGACGACGGAGCTTCCTCATACGGCCAGCAGTGAAGGACCACGTCTCAGATCCGTAAGTCATCACGGGCAACACGCACTGGTTGTAAAATTTCGTTTTCAGGTTTTGAGGTATACCTAACGAGAAGATGTGTCGTAGTTTCCCGAACGCTGCCCAGCCGAGCTAGATCCGTCGATTGACCTCACAGAATACCGGCGTGAAGTAGAAGCTCTGCTTCTGCATTTCGTCTGGTGAGTGCAGGTGGCCGGAGGTCCAATCCCCCCCCCCCCATCAACATGGTAGCGGAATTACACAATAGACTACCCCAGGAGGGTACCAGTACCCCTGGAGAATCCCTCGCTGAGCATCCACGACCATGTTATTCCACTCCTGAGCGTGGGTGCTCAGGCTGTCCCCGCGTATTCTGGGGAGGCAAAATTCTGCTCAAAAACATAACTGCTCGGGGCAAACTGACCAACAATACCAAGGCGACCCCTGCCACGCTATCCGTGAATTTCTGCAATATCAGGGGACTTCACTCTAACCTAAACGCCATCCACTACCATCTCGAGACGGCGAAGCCGGCCTTGCTCTTTCTGACCGAGACGCAGGTTTCCTCTCCGGCTGATATTTCGTATCTCTCCCTCCTACCCAGGGTACAAATTGGAGCACTCCTTTGTGCCTCGGGCTGGAGTTTGCGTGTATGTCAGAGAGGACATCTGTTCTCGACGCCTCGGCAGTCTTGAAGGTTCGGACCTGTCCATCCTTTGGTTACGCGTAGACAGCGACGACCATCCGCGCGTCTACGGGTGCCTTTATAGGTCCCATAGCGGTAATGCCGAAACAGACCGACTCATCAACCACGTTCAAATGGCTACAGATTCCATGCTACAACAGGTCCTATCCGCAGATATCGTGATCCTTGGCGATTTTAACGCCCACCACGCCGAATGGCTCGGTTCACGTTTAACCGATCATGCGGGGAGATCTGTTTATGACTTTGCCTTGGCATATGGTCTGACACAACTGGTTACTTCGCCTACGCGGATTCCAGATGTGGAGGATCATACACCTTCCCTGTTGGACCTTCTGCTGACCTCTCATCCGGACGGATATCAGGTTTCCGCCGATGGCCCTCTCGGCTCTTCTGACCATTGTCTGATCCGGAGTGAGGTGCCACTCACGCTCCCCTCGCGGTTGCGTTCTGCAGGTTGTCGCCGTGTTTGGCATTACAGGTCGGCGGATTGGATGGAATGCGGTCTTTCTTTGCTTCCTACCCATGGGGGCGGGTTTGCTTCTCGCTGGATGATCCCAGCGCTGTTGCTGACTCTGTCACTGATGTGGTGCTACAGGGAATGGAACTATTTATTCCATCATCTGTAGTACCCATCGGAGGCAGATCTCAGCCTTGGTTTGGTCGCTCCTGTAAGACTGCATTACGCAGTAAGCAGGAGTGTTATCAAGCCTGGGCTGCGGCTTCGGTGACTCGGGATGTAAGCACCTGCACACTTAAAAAGAAGTATAACTTTGCCTCCAGGTCCTTCAAAAGAGTTACTGCCAAGGCAAAGTCAGAGCACATAGGTAGAATTGGCGAGAAACTAGTTCGCCTTTCTTCGGGAACCCGTGCATTCTGGTCTCTCGCCAAGGCTGTCCAAGGGAATTTCTGTAAGCCATCACTACCATCTCTGCACAGGGAGGACGACTCACTGGCCCAAGACGCAAAAGACAAAGCCGACCTTTTAGGCTCCCTCTTTGCATCCAACTCGACTCTTGATGACAAAAAAGGCGACCGCTCAGCCCCTTCCAACTATAGGCCTATCGCGATCACCTCCTTGTTCTCCAAAATAATGGAATCCATTATTAACTGCCAGCTCATCCGGTACCTTGAGGATCACCAGCAGATTAGTGACCGCCAATACGATTCGTCGGGGTCGATCAGCTGGTGATCTTCTGGTCTACCTGACCCATAGATGGGCGGAGGCAGTAGAGTCCAAGGGGGAGGCGTTGGCCGTTAGTCTGAACATTGCGAAGGTTTTCGATCGGGTTTGGCACAAAGCGCTTCTTTCGAAGCTCCCTTCTAGAATAGAATAGAATAGAATATTTTTTATTCAATATACATTACATGTGTAATTCTTATTGAAAGTCATTTTTTACTTTACCACTAGTTCGAAAAAAAAACCCTCTGTCCTGGGAAGAACCAGCAAGAAACCCAGCGGGACTTTTTTTTTAAATAAATTTTACAATATAAATGATTACGAACTATTTACAAAATTTATTTTAGAAACTGCTTGGAAGCGACCACCTCATTCCCCTTTTTATACAGTTTCAGCTTAATAAAACATTTAAACTTGGTAATAGAGATAACCACACAACACTTTCCGGGACCTTGTTGTAATAGCGTATACATTGCCCCAAGAATGAATTACTGACTCTGTGGAGTCGAGAAACTGGCATCACTAGCTTGTGTTTGTTCCTAGTGTTTACAGAATGTATATCACTTTTTTTACTAAAACTATCTTTGTTTTTGTGAACATACATTAAATTTTCGTAAATATACTGAGAGGCCAAAGTTAATATATTAATTTCTTTAAATTTATCTCTAAGAGACTCTCTCGGTTTTAGATTGTAAATAGCTCTAATGGCCCTCTTCTGTAAAACAAAAATAGTTTCTGAATCAGCCGCATTTCCCTATAGCAAAATCCCATAAGACATTATGCTATGGAAATGACTAAAATAAACTAATCTAGCTGTCTCGACACTAGTGAGACCTCTAATCTTTTTTACAGCATAGGCTGCAGAACTTAGTCTGCTTGCTAATTTGGATATATGGGGGCCCCAATGGAGCTTTGCGTCAAGAGTCCTATGGGCTTCCCGAGAAATTGTGCAATTGGATCACCAGCTTCCTTGCAGATCGGAGCATCAAGGTCGTTGTAGACGGTGCATGTTCTGACTACAAGCCTATTAACGCTGGTGTTCCACAAGGCTGTGTGCTATCACCAACGCTGTTTTTTCTGCATATCAATGATATGTTGCTAACTGGTAACATTCATTGCTATGCGGATGACAGTACTGGTGATGCTCTGTACACCGGCCGTGCCAATATTTCTCGGGAAAACGTCACCGAGTACCGAGTTCCTCGCACGACTTCCTTGTGGAATCGATTACCATCAGCGATTTTTCCGGATCGATACGACTTAGGGACCTTCAAGAAAAGAGCGTACTCCTTTTTAAAAGGCCGGCAACGCATCTGCAATTCCCTCCCTGGTGTTACAGTTGTTCATGGGCGGCGGTAGTCACTTACCATCAGGTGAGCCGCACGCTCGTTTGCCCCCTCTCCTATATAAAAAAAAAAAGTTGGACTTACCTAGTCGGACTTTTTGTCCTAGGTAAGCATACTCGTCAATAACTTCGAGCTTAGTGCTCCCAACAACTACCGGCATAGGTGTGACATCGACGTTAAACATGATTTTTGTTTTGTCCATATTCATTTTAAGACCTATCTGTTGGGAGACACTATTGAGCCATTGAGCAAAGTGCTTAGGTCCTCCAGCGATTCTGCCATAAGGACTATATCGTCGGCAAATCGAAGGAGAGTGATGTACTCGCCATTGATGTTAATACCGCATCATTTCCAGTCCAGTAGCTTGAAAACGTCTTCCAATGCAGCGGTGAAGAGTTTCGGGGATATAACGTCACCCTGTCTTACACCTCTCTGCAGTTGGATAGGTTTCGTACTCTGATAGCCATCGTAGCTCTACCATACAAACACTTCAGCACTTCGATATACCGACAGCAACTTGGCATCGCTGAAGGGACTGCAGCACCGCCCAAATTTCGACGGAATCAAAGGCTTAGGCGTACTATGAAGGATAATAATTATACATTGTAGGCTAAGAAGGATTAGAACCCAGAGCCGTAAAGCCAGTTATAAAAAAAATGTTACGTCATCTGCATAGAGACAATATACCTATCTAAGTCAGTGGTCATCTGTCACTGTCATACTCACATGTTATCATTTCCAACTTGTTTCCTTTCCTGATAAAACATTTCGTGACTGTGTGTTTTTGCATTACCTTTAATAAAAAATGAAAGTGCTTATCGATATCTGGCTGTTTCGAAGCTCTTACACAACTTGCTTATTGACTGAAGAAGGATTTATGCTACCGGATAAGCATTTCTATAAATCTATTGGTGTAAATGTAGGAGACTGTTGGGATGTTGACATTAAACAAAAAATTTCACAGGCGAAAAAACTTAAATTTGTTGCAAATGCTCTCTTTTTACAACCTTTTGTTAAAGAGTGTATTATTTTTAATATTTATAGAGCTAAAGTTGTGAAAAATATCAATAAGTTTTGTGGAAATATAAATAATGGAACTGTGTTTTTGAAACTTATTTTGGAACCTCCAGACAAGGAAATTATTGACTACGCTTGGTAGGTTCAAAATAAAATTATTTGAATTCCATGAAGATTTATTAAATCTTTAAGTATATAATAATATTTGTGTCATTATATGGTTTCACTTTACAAAATTACAATCAATTTGAAGCTTCGAACTTTTATGAAGGATAAATCTTGTTATTGTTACTAAAATATTTTTACTTTTTTAATTTTTACATGGTAAAGCCATGCTGCAGGTAATATATTATGGCTGTTGCACAAATTAGTCAGCTTGACCAGGGAAGGATCACACTCTCAAAGATTACCAGAATAAAATAAAATCATAATGTTAGTGTGTTTTGTATGGTTAGTGTAGAGAACCTTTTTACTGGAAACGAGGCATTCCATCTTAGTACTAGGTTGTGACAACGCATTTGCATTTTAAATATTAATGGAGCATAGATGTAAATATTTATGGACACAGAATCTACTTACCATCAAGTAGACTATATGCTCACTTGTGATATTATTCTATAAAAAAATGTTATGTGGTAAGAACAAGCATTTTCAGAGATATTAATTATTTAAAATTATTTTTATAACTTTTAACATGATAATATATTAATGTTATGTAATTATGGCACATTATTTTCACTTATGCTAAAATAATGCAGTTTGCTTAGAACCATGTTTTAGGGGCATTCCATGGGGATGCGTATGTTCAGTTCAGCAGTGGACTTGTGAATGAATGGGTGTGATGATGATAATGAAGATGATTATTTTTTTTACTGATATAACCTAATTTCCTATTAACTTTTTCAATGAAACAAAATAGTAAAGTGATGTGCAGACATTTTATCTGATGGGTGAATAATGTTTAATATTATTTATAAAATAATAATATTATAGTCGTTATTTTGATTTCAATTTGAGATAATTGTAACATAGAGGAAAATGGGTAAATATTAATATTTTATATGTGTATGTTTTATATGTGTGTCTAAGAATCAAACATCAGTCTTACTGTAAGGAATACTTAATTCTATAATATTAGAAAAAGTGTAATAAGTGTTTTTAGTATGCTCTAATTATAATTAATGTATATTTTTTCAATACTCAGGCTAAATATTAATTATTATCATAATCACCCTAACAGTCCACGAAAGTCCACTGCTGAGATCTTCCCCATAGAATGCCACAAAGTATTATAAAGTATTTTATATTTATGAAAATGTAATGTATGTACATAAACACATAAATAGCTTTAATAAGAATAAGGATGTTCATACTTTAAACACTAAGAACAAACATAAGCTTGTAATGCCAGTTACTAGACTCCACAGAATCAATAATTCATTTATTTACAATAAAATCCCAGAACATGTTCATAGTGTGTCAATAAACAAGTTTAAATGTTTATTAAAGAAAAACTGTAATTATAATGTCAAGGAATACATGAATGAAAATAACCCTTGGGAATGAGGTGATCACCACCATGTTGGTTCTATGAAAATTCAAATTCAGTGAAATATGTTTAAAAAAAGTCCCGCTGGGTTTCCAAGACAGAGGTATTTTCCGAACCAGTGGTAAATAAAAAATTACCTTAACTTACGAGTAGTATTATTTAATCAATATTGAATAAAAAATCATTCTATTCTATTCTATGGTTCTAAGCCACCTCCATCTATTGCCTACCTGCATGTTGTGTTAGGTTGGTACAGGAGGTTGCCAACACTGTGCTTGCAAGTGTGAGGCTGCCACAAGAGAATATTTCTTCCATTGTCAGCTTTTTAGCTATACATATTGTTGGCCGATGGCCTCCTCAGTTTACTGATCTACTGGACAGTTGCTGTGTTGGTTACCCTTGTTTTTCTGCATATAATCCTCATAATACAGAGAAATTTTGAGCACCTCATACGGCCAGCAGTGAATGACGTTTTAGTTCTGTATATCATTACTGCCAACTTGCATTGGTTGTACAATATTACTTTAAGGTGTTTGTGGACACAATGATTTGTCATATTTTCCAAGCCGAGTTGGTTTTCTTTGGTTGACTTCTTGTTTAAAGTTAAACTTAGTTATCAAAAACAACTACCCATGTAACAGGAGTAACATGGATGATAATGTTAGGACACACAACTGAGGTTATTGAGCATAGTGCTAAGGTCCTCTATGGATTCTGCCAGAATGATTATATAATGGTCAGCAAATCCAAGGTGAATGATTTATTCACTATGATTGTTATTGTGTACCATTTCAGTAGCTTGGAAATGTCTTCAAATGCAGCAATTTACTTACTTCACTTTATTTATCTTCACGCACAATCCCTGACGGGGTAGCCAGAGAGAACAAATTGCCAAGTGTCACTATCCTTACATACCTCTTTTGCTTCTTTTAGATTCATTATCTTCTTCATACTTGCACGTCTAGGTATCCGAGTACTCTTGACCCTCCCCTCTTCGAGCAATTTGCTCACATGGTCTTCGAAAGTTAGTCTTGGTCTACCTCGACACCTTTTAATATTTACTTTCGCGCTATATATTTTCTTCACCATTCGGTCTTCATTCATTCGCTCAACGTGCCCAAACCATCGAAGCACGCCCTTACCAATTTTTGTGATAAGGTCATCTTTCAAACCTGCCATATTGCAGCAATGCAATAAATGCAGCAATGAAGAGCACTTACCAACTTTCTCAATCTGCTTGCAAAAGGTCTGCTGTAATTCCATCCTCATCCCGCTTTTTGTTTTTTAAAGTTATTGGAAAGCCATTCTAATCTCGCTGACATCTCATTATTATTATCATTGGTATAGTATTGAATGAGATTTGCCTTTTGGTTGTTACTCACACTAGTAAGGTTCTATTGACATTGTGTAAGTCCATAAAACTTCTCTATGTCACTCAAAATGTAATTCATATTTTATATATAATAAACAGATATTATTCTTAATTATATAAATATTTTTGGCTTACTATCTTTCAATATATTCTTCAAATATTCTATCTACATATAAAAAATCTAAGATAAATTTCAAAGCTCTTGCAGATTTTTTTATATTTGATAGTTATTTCAGACTATAAATAATCTTGTAGGCTGGTATGCATATTTTCCTTTGAGTTGATGTTTACATTGTGATCCAGATAGACTCTTTGTATAACTTCATTAAACACTCCAACAGTTTTTAGGAATACCAAGGAAGAAATGAAAATGTTATATAAATTGAGAGTGCATGTTGAATTTTAATTGGAATAAGAGCTAACTTATACTTTTATATTAAACTTGCCACAGTCGAAATGGTTACAAACAATCACATTATATAAGAGTTACACAAAACCTCCAAATTTGCAAAATATGGACATCTTTAAGCAATACAACATTTTTTTTAAATTTTAGCATTAAAATAAAAGAAAGTGTATCAACCAACACAGACAAATTAAAGTCCCATAATTTATTGCAGGAATGACAGGATGCGGTATTTGATTTGGACTCGAATCGAATTAGAAAATGCTTTCTCATGGCTCTCAACACTGGGAGGAGCTTACTCTGCTTTAGGTGATTACTTTGAGCATTGTGTAAGTTGTGATTTGTTTTTTGTCTTATCATCAATAAATTATATACCTTTTTATAATAGTAAATTGCCACGTTTTGCGACAATTATGGCAAAGGCGAATTGGGGATCGTAGTACCAGATCGTCTTGTATCTATGGCGCTGCTCCCCGTCGTCGGTTTGATTTACACCTAGTGTAGCAGGCGGTTATATCATCTTGAGGGCTCATAACATCTTTTAGCTATAGCCCAGCAGAAGGCCACTTCCGAACAAGGGCATCGTATTTCAATAGTTGCCACATTGTGCAGGCGGGTTGCCTACTACAGTTAATTTTAATTAATATTATTGAGTTTTTATCAGGAAAAAGTTGCTGCCCATCTCCTACATTGACCATAAAGTACTAAAATTATTGAAATGTGGGGAGGAGTAAGTGGTTTTTGATATTAGCAATGTATTATTGTACATGTTTGTTTAAAAAACTGCGAGTTAAAGTGTAAAAATTTTCTATTCTCAGTATTAATAATAATCTATTAATATCTTATAGAAGTTTTTTTAACTTAAATTCTTTGGGGACGTATTGATATTCATAAATATAGCCCTTATGCATATGTACATAAAACACTAAATTCTTTAAACATTTTACAGGCAGAGGAAGCCGGAAGAATATCACTGAGACAATACAAACTTTCTAGAATGCTTGGTGATGACGGATTAGCTGCTCGTAGCAGATTATATTCAGCTATATCTTATGCCCAGAAAGGAAGACTGAAACTCGCTAGACACATGGTCAGAAATATAGCAGCTTTTGCAAGGGAGACACATGACAAACGTCTTAACCGAATGTGTCAAGGTGTATGGGCAAAGTTGAAGTACCTAAGGACATTAAAGTCAAAGTATGGTACAGAAGGAAATTGCAACGGTAGAGCGTATTGGTATAATAGTAGTGGATAAAGTGGTGTGATTTACTTGAAAATGACTTGTTTCAATTGAACTTATTTTAAAATATTTTTGTTGTTTTCTATTTTGGGCGCTGTGTAGAAATAAGCCTTGGCTATGGAGAGTAAATTAAACCGGGCAAGTGCGAGTCGGATTCACGCATGAAGGGTTCTGTACCATCGTACAAGATTCAATACTATGTAGGCAAAAAACACGTTTCTAGTAGGGGAGTCCCTTTATTTTTATTATTTGTTATAGCGGCAACAGAATTACACATTCTGTGGAAATTTCAACTGTCTACCCATTACGGATTATGAGACAGACGGACATACATACTGCGGAGGCTTAGTAATAGGATCCCATTGGTTACCCTTCAGGAACGGAAACCTCAAAAGGATCCTTTCAATGTACACAAATTTATTCTTATAAAGAATAATCTCTATAATATATTGCACTATTGTGCCCAAGGGTCTTATTTCTAAGTGTATGTTTATGTTTTGAATACTATTCAAACTGAAAACATTTTAAATAATGAATAATTATAAAACGAATAATTTTCATACACTCAGGCTCTCTCTCTCTGTTTTTCGTCGCCGCTGATTGTGTTCAGAATTGCAGTTAATTAAGATGACTTTACTATACTGAAACCCTTATTTAAAAAAAAATAGCGCTAAACGTTAAAGTATACAACAAAGGATTAAAATTTTATGTGTGATCTATCATTGACAATGACTTTATCAATTATTGATGCAGTTTTAATCAAAGAGTATAGTAACTGTCCTATACACAAAGTTTTAATTGATATTTTCACTTGTCCTACTTCTTACCTAAGTTCAAGTCTAACCCTTATGTTACACTAGCGCCACTCCACTCACTATTGCTTTTTAGTTGTAGCCATATATTGTCTATGATATGGTCCTCTTTATACTCTACACTCCAAAGTCTAGACCAATGACGTTTAATACACGTTTGTGTGATATTGTAAAAATATAATTTATTTATCAATATGTAAGAGTATAGTATTCACTATCGTAATTTTAAGTAAATACAAAAATATCTAAACTATGCATGCTTAATTTTTTTTACTAATTATTTGAGATTTTAACAGTGGTAGAGCCACGCGGCAGCTTTTGCTGTCGCAAGGATGGACCGGCTCGAACCGGAGTGGTACCAATACCTCACAGAATACCAGCGTGAAGTAGAGGTTTACGTCTGCGTTTCGTTTGGTGAGTGCAGGTAGCCGGAGGCCCTTTTTACTGGAAATGAGGCATTCCATCTTAGTCCTCAAGGGTGACAACGCATCTGCATTTTGATTCGCAAACGAGGATAGATGTAGATGTCTATGGGCCGCAGCAACCACTTACCATCAAGTGGACTGTGTGCTCGTTTGTCACCCTTATCCTATAAAAAAAATATTTCTCGTTTTAACCCTTTAACTGGTAGAGGGAATGAGCCTAGATAATGAAATAAAACTTCACTACGTGGAATCATATATTTTTTTTATTTTTTTTAAAGATTTTATATTAATTATTATTTATTAATTATATAGAAAAAAACATGATGGCAACATATAAACCACCATCAGTCTAGCCTTACCAATTTATGTATCTTTGTTTGATGGTAATTTTTGAAGCAAGGCAATGGCACTTGACACCTATTACATTGTATCCTGGATCGTTGTTTATTGTGTGCAACTACACAAGCGACACCTTCTATAGGTGGGTAATTCTACAGGCCAATGGGCTCCCAGCTCAGAAAAACGAATTTCTCGAGGTACGCCAAATAGTTTCTTTTGCCTTGATTCACTGTTTTTGGACACTGTTCTTCGGATTGTACAGACTTACTTTTTTTGGACGCGAACTTTGGCACGGTGGCAAAGGGTCTTTTTCGGAATGTTGCGTTTGCTACTAATTCTCGAGACAATGTCAGCCTAAATTCCTTTTGAGATAATACCGTGTGGTTACGTCTGTTAGAAGCATACAATATATACGCGTTTGTTATTGCAGCATCAATAAGGAAATAGAAGATGCGTTTCCACCACTTCGAGCTTTTTCTTCCGACTGCGTACGGGGTTCTCTTTTGGTCAAACCGGTCCACTCCTCCCATACGCTTTGTGTATTCTATAATTGTTAGCGAACAAGGGACAATTTTTTAGATCCATCATTTTGAGTTCTTTCACAAGATGTTTTCTGCTTTGGATGAAATGCAGTGCTCAAAACGCTTACTAATTTGTTATCTTTCCAGATAATAAACCCAACATTATTTTTTACCCTCCATTTCTATTCTCCTCTTTTCAGCTTTTTTGTTTTTGGGTTTGCATTTTTTACAGCCTTTGGCTTTTTTACAATTAGTGGCATATCTTGGCGGTCATTTCTGACCGTAGCAGTTGCATATATACCATTATTGTATAACGTTTGTAGTAAAGCTGGACTAGAAAAAAAGGTATCAAATGCTATATGACCCATATAGGTTTCATTTATGAGTGACTGGCATAATGTCATGACAACATTACTGCCTAATCCTGTTTCGACGTTTTCGGTCTTTCCAGCATACACTTGAAACTGATACAAGTATCCTGAGTGGCTGTCAGCTGTAGCCCAAACCTTGAAGCCCCGTTTTATGGGCTTCATGGGCATGTATTGCTTTAGAGTAGATCGCCCCTTAACTTTATCATACACTCGTCGATTGACTGAGAGTGTGTGTTTTTGGCATTTGTCTGACATTTTACGTTGATGTAATCTAGCAGCGGCCTTATTTTATACAGTTTGTCATAGTTATCATCGTTCCTGTTAGGCATATTGGCATTGTCATTGAGATGTAAATATTTCATAAGTTTTTGAAATCGCTTCAATGTCATTGTCTCAGCAATTTCAACAACATGCAGTAATGGGTCACTGGACCAATAATCTTCTATACAGGGTAATTTGTGAATGCCCATTTGAATTATCATGCCCAGTAAATCTTTGATCTCTGTTGCTGACACCTGTTCACAATTTTGGTCATTGCATTGTGATGCGTAGAGGTTAGTTTGGGTTACAATCATATCGATAGCTTCAGAGTCAAAAAACATTTCAAAAAATACGAGTGGCCTTGTCCGAACTGGTTGTAATTGAATAGAATCGAAAAGAGAAACTACGGGATTCTGTGACCAGGCTACTTTTTTCCATTCGTCTTCATTTGCATCGGATCCGTCTGAGTCCTCAATTTCTGATGGATCAAAAACTTGAAGTTCATGTTCTATAAGTGAAGGACTGTGTCGCGAACTTCTTGGTGGGGGTGGCTCCATAACATTTTCATTTGAGGGCCCTGGTTGAGGTGATGATGTTGGTCGAGGGCTTAGTTCTGGAAAGATCCTAGTGTTGATTGGGTCATAGTTATTTGACGACAAAATACCAGAAAAATCTTCTACATCGGAATCCTCCGCTTCATCTTCAGATCTCGCTCCATCACTGAAACCAAATAATTCTTCTAACGCTCTTTCTACTTCATCAGGTTTCAGATTCACCTCACGACGATCCATATTCCTATAAAATACACAATAGAAAGTATAAATATGTAGGTACCTAATACAATACTAAACTGGTATTGGCCAACATGTTGCCGTCGTACCCTTACGGCATACAGACAGTGGCATATATATTGCCGACATGATTTTCGAAAATTACGTAAACAATATTTATTGTTTTTGTGGCGGATTGGGATTATTTTACTAGATATAGTGGACTGTATTGAGATTCTAAATCCCCTGAAACGTTCAGTTACCGCAGTCACAAAATCACACCAAAAACAGCAACAAACTACTCACGGTCTTACTAGCCAGCCTCCCAAGATCAGCAAACGTTGACAGCTCCTGGTAGCTTCTTCTACACGGTAGAATACACTAGCAATTAGATTGTACACGGTACACTCTGGAGTAGTCCCTTTTTTAAGTTTTTGGAGAGATGTTCACATCACGAACACAAAGAGAATGTGTATGGCTTGTCTCGCCTCCTACCCTCCTCTTCTCTTTTTTTTAACTCCACAGATTATTACAACGCATATTACGTCGCAATGTTGCCACTAGGTGTGACCGGCGCTCCGATCGTAGCAGATCATTGTGCCTCGGTATAAATTTTGTGAGTTGCGGTTTATTACTGAACACACCCCCCACCGAAACCATCTTGATGGTTTCTCCTAACTATATGAAAAAGATATTAGAGAAAATATTATAACTTAAGCTACGGAACATGCAAAATAACGCTGAGACACAGAATGTCCTCAACGAGAAAAAAAATATTAATACACGTAAAAACTAATTTGAATAAGGTAGAGGACTCAGTTTATTAACTGGTCTCTGTAGAGTACTCTTTTGAGTGCGAAGCGTAACACAACGAACAATCCCATCTGGACCGGGGTGAAGAGCCTCAATTCTACCCAAAGGCCAATCGCACGGCGGTACATTATCAGTTTTTATGATTACGAGATCACCTATTTTTATATTAGATCTATCCGAATGCCACTTTGCTTTCTGTTGCAGCGTATTTAGATATTCGTGACTCCATCTACGCCAAAACATTTGTGAACATTTTTGAATATATTGCCAACGTGATAATCGATTTATTGTTATATCCTCTACATTATACTCAGGTACTGCTGTTAACCCTTTTCCAATTAGAAAGTGTCCCGCAGTCAAAACGTTGAACTCATCAGGATTATCACTAGCTGGTAACGGACAAAGCGGCCGCGAGTTGAGAATCGCTTCTACTTTACAAAACACTGTTGTGAGTTCCTCGAACGTCAAACTTTTTTCTCCTACGGCTCGCGTTAATAGATACTTGGCGGATTTAATTCCAGCTTCCCAGAGCCCACCCATATGTGGTGCACCAGGGGGATTAAATCTCCATATAATTTGTCGTTTTGAGCAACCCTCTAATATATTGTTTTTTTGTTCGAGCATAAATCTTTGTACTTCGGTTAAATGCTTACTAGCAGCTATGAAATTAGTTCCGCAATCCGAATAAAGGAAGGAGCACACA